ATGTTTGTTGTTCCACAGCTAGCCACATGTTTATACTTTTTACTGATTCAGTTCACAATTAACATTTACGCTAATTTTATTAAATATATACATTTAAAAATATGATTATTTATGCTACAGAATTTGAATATATATATATATATATATATATATATAAAAAGAGAGAGAATTTGAATACATGCATTTTGAAAATAGAATTATTTGTGCTAATTCTAAAGAATTTGAATATATACATTTTAAAACTATGATTTAAATGAAATCAAACAGATGCCAACACCTAGTAATATCAAACAAAACAACAATACAATAAAAGTAACAATAATAAACAAAGATAAACTAACAAAATACACCACTAAAAACACTAAATAACTCATGAGACGTAGAGAATATGGCCCAAAACGCACATTATGCAAATATGCAAACACAGATTTCATGTTGACACAAACATTTGAATGAAATTCTTGACACTTTTTTGTGTCCATCACAAATGCAACATTAAGTGTGCACAATATGCTGGCAGTGCATCTTCCAGCGCTCATATCAGCATGTGTATGGATATAATTCATTTACATTTAGTCATTTAGCAGATGCTTTTATCCACAGCGACTTATAAATGAGGACAATGGAAGCAAACAAAATCAACAAAAGAGCAATGATATGCAAGTGCTATAACAAGTCTCAGTTAGCTTAACGCAGAACACGTAGCAAGTTTTTTTTGGTTGCCAGTGCAAATTGATAATCAGAGGTGTGACGTGCATTCTTTTTGGCTCATTAAAAATCGTTGATCTTATATCAGATTGGTCTGGTGGTCTCATTTTATTTAAAAGTAGCTATAATCATTCTGAAATGGAACGCTTTCAGTCTATAGCTTTTGCTTCAGTATGTTTCACTTCAGTGTTTGGTTGGTGTGAATGCTTTTTTTTGGGGGGGAGGGGGGGGGGTGCACTCTTTTTTTTTTTTTTTTTTTTTTTATTATTATCATTATTAATTTTTGGCTGAAATGTGATCAGGGCAAATGTTCATGAGATTCACTCATAAGGGTGATGTTGGGTATAGCCAGGGTATAGAGAATGGGAATCTATGTCATGGCATGTTGCATTCTGTGTAACGGTTGCTATATTTTTAGACACACTTAGAAGCACACAGTGTAAACAATTAAAAATCACCACAAAATAAGCAAACCTTTTTATATTAGTAATTTTCGGAAAACCGTTTACAGTCGCTTAGAATAAAACATAACTAATATGCAAATCTCTTCAAGTTGAAAATAAATCGCTCAGTCATGTGTCTAAAAATAAAAAAATGTGTTTTGCGGATACTGTAAAAATACATAACTTCACTTGAATGCCTTGAATGAAATTCAAGATTCTTTACTATTAGAGATGCTGAACAAGTAAACAGTGGAGTGTAGTAAATAAAGAAAATTAATGGGCTCAGTCGTACACAAGATGCAAGATGCACAAGGGTATCAACAAGATGCCACAAATATTTGTGGTGTGAGCGGTTTTGCAGTTCAATGCAAATCAATGTATTTGTAATATACTGTATAATATATCTATAGTCATAAAACCACATTTTAAGTAGTTTACCTTACCAAATTTCAGTTTCACTTGAACCCGAGTTCAGTAGTGAATGTAGACATTTTATATTATTTTGTTATATTATTCAACTAAGATTTTGTTTGAATGGTTAATGCTTACTGTGTCAATTACCATAACCATTCTCACTGAATAATATTAACATAAAATAATATAAAATGTTTACATTCACTTCAATCTCTACTCTAACTCCCATGTCCTAAATTCCCACAATGCATTGTGCTGTGACATCAAGTTCCCATTCTCTATAGCCACTGAACATTGTTTGGAGGTTAGATAGCTCTGCAAAGATCATCGTAATATATTCACATTAACATGAGAGATAGCAAGCGCTGGCAAAGTGTCTGATGTCTAAAATGAATGTCCAAACCCTCAAGCTCTCCTGGATCTCTCCAGCATGCAGGCCTCCATCCAGGAAAGCCACTCCAGCCCCAGGCTTGCATGCGCTGCCCATCAGGATCAAAGGCATCGGCAGCCCTGGAAGCTGCTTATTACCCCCCACCCCCACCCTCACCCCTTTACCTCGCCCATATCCCCCCTGCTCAGCCAGCAGTAACCAGCCCACTTTGAAGCCCTTTTTCTGCCTATTTAAAAAGGAAAGCACAAGAAAAGCGGGGGCCTTGAATCGCCACTGGCCTCGTCCATTTCACATCACTGTCACTGCAGAACCTTTGTGTTTCTGAATAGCACTCCTATTCTATGTACCTTTTTCTCTTTCTAGTTCTGAGAAGGTACGCTGTGACTCAGCGCTCAGTGACTTATTTAGCTAAGTGAGATGTGTTGAGTAACTTTGCTCTTTTGAAGTCCTTTTTGCAGTTTTTGCTCTCAAGCTGTAGGGTTTTTCTTCTACTTCTTCTTTTTACTATTACAACCTCTTCAGAGTACTGCTGTAAAGTATATTTTCCCCCCGCTTGGTGTACATGAAAATGCATAGGAACTCAAAAATGAAATTCTGTAATCATCTACTTACCCTCATGTTGAATGTTACTTACCCAGCATGAAGAGTGTTCATGCTACTCTTTTTCATGCAATGAAGTGAGTGGGTACAGATGCTGTTGAGTTTGAAAAACCTTTTTAAAAGCAGCATAAAAACATTATGAAAGTGAACTATATGACTTGTTCACTGTATTGTCGTACGTATAGTTCAAAGTATGAAAAAGAATCTGTTTAATATCCTTTAGTTTGAAAGACAGACATGCCATTTCATTCATTATGACCAACATTCATCTAATTCATGTTCATGTGCTTGAAATATGAAGTGCAGCTGGACGTGACATACAGTAAATACACCCAAGATGGCAAATGTTAGATCACTCTTGCAGCCCTAACACCTCACTCCAGTCGGAGAAAGTGTAACAAAGTACAAATAATGGCAAAATATTCAAGCAGCCCAATGCCTCAGAGGGCTTCCAGGGACCAGGCCTCACACCATGCTGTAATGACCTCATCTGTATGCAGTGTCTTCCTCAAATCTGTGTCATCACAAGCCTTATTTCCCAGCAGGTTTAGAGCTTCTACACATTCTCTCTTTTATTTCTGTCTCTCTCTCTTTCTCATTCACTCCTTTTCTCTCTTTCCCTTACCTTAATAGTTCGTAAAGAGTTCCTTGGCACCTTGAAAAGTAAAAGCATATGATGTCCAGTGGGAAAACAGTTACACCTCATTTGATTGCTGAGCGGTAGATCACCTGTTACAGACGCTCAGTGGAAATGCAGTTTGAAATGAATTGTTAGTATGTCTCGCTTTAACGGTTGTCTGTATTTTGTCTTAAAGTCTGAATGTGGTCTGTGATTCTTCTTGCAATAATTATGTGTTAAACTGTTTATTTAGTTGGCTACTATTTAATAAAAATGCCTTATAATCTTACAACTGAAGAAAACCTTACAATGAAACCTAAACTGCCTATGATAACAAGACCTAAATCATTTTAAACACGGCTAAACCTTCTTAAACAGTGTATAAATGTGCAATGTGCTAAGATGTCTTTCAAACTTTAAAGGCAACAGCGACAATGAGCGTTATCAAATGGCTAATAAGAAAATCCCGTTCAAATATACCCGGCCGGTCGAAGATTGGCTACATGAGAAAGGTAACCCTCACAAGACCTCAGTGTTTTTTTAGTTGATTTTAATTTGCGTTCATATGCTCCTTGTCATGTCGTTTCGTTATATTTTTGTCCAACCAGGTCTGATGATTCTTTGCTTAGCCTTTTGCCACTAATTAACCTAAAATGTTCATAATTTACCCTTCCCATTACGTAATATTTTCGTTGAGTATTATTTTTTATCTGGATTGTGATCCTCTTTTGTTATTTCCATCAGATCATTGACCAGTTAAAGGGACTGGTAACTAAGAATAACACTGCATAAGTACGTAGCTTCTGGACTCCAACTTTAAATCTAAACCAAAACTCAACAAAAGTCAGGATGTTTGTTTTTAATTTTCTTTGGAATGATCTTCCACAGTAGTAATGTTAGTGGTCGAATAATCCAAAAACCCAACCCTTAATGCAGCACGTTTCCAAAGACAACACATTTGTGCTGAAGTGAAACGCCACTTTGCTGACTAATGCACTTTTGTGTTTGAAGCCGGTGATGAAATCGACCGACACCTCTTCAGTTTCATTCAAAAACAGGATGAAAGGGCGGGGTGACCATTTATCAAATTTACCATTAAAGTCCTTTGGATTATTAAATGCGTTTAAAGGTCATTGCCTAAACTACATAAGATGATTATAAAGTCCCTTTAACACTGTCTAAAACCACATTGAAATCCCATTAGTGGTTCTACATGCATGAATCAACATGATATTCCTTTGAAATGTATGAGATGAGCTTTCTTCCTTGCCCACTGTAATATAGAATTGTAAATGTGTAATAGTCTTAATTGGCCTGCATTTCTATTTCTAACCATATGAAAAACCATTTGGAATTTGCCCCAAAACATTTGCATGAGAAGCACCTCACAGTGAACAAAAAAAAAAAAGTTAATCTTAATTTTTAATACTATGCTTGGATGTTAAAAGATAGCCCATTAATGATAACATTAATCAATTAGCTAAATTAAAATAAATAAATAAGTAATATAAACCATTCTGATTGTGTCTTCCTTCACTGGTCTTCCCCTCAGGTCGTCAGCTGACCATTTTTAACACCCAAGCCACCATCTCAATAGGCGGTAATGACCGCAAGCGACCATATCAAGGCCAGCTCTCTGGTCTATATTACAATGGCCTGAAGGTTCTCAACATGGCAGCTGAAGGTCATGCTAACATCAAGATAAATGGCAGTGTGAGACTGGTGGGGGATGTGCCCACCAGCAGAAGTCCCCCACGTACCACCACCTCCATGCCCCCAGAGATGTCCACCACCTTCATCGAGACCACCACCACCCTGTCAACCACCACTACCCGCAAACAGCGCTCACCACCCACAATTCAGGTAAGATCCATTGATTTTCTCCATTTAGTCTCCTTAAACCAAGGATGTAGACAAAATTGTGAGGGTGGCCAAATACTCAACAGTGTAAAAACGTGTTTATTGTGCATTTATGTTTTCATGTAAGACACGAGACTTTAAGAGACCTCATGTCTAAACTCTCGCATCTGGCTTCTTAGTATTGAAGCTATCAAGATTTTCCAATGAGATATGGTGAGTTTATGTCCAGCATTCAAAAGTTTTGTTTATGTTCTGTAAAATATGTAAAAAAAATAAAATAAAAAAATAAATAAAAAGGAGAAGAAGAAAGATTGGGGGGGGGAATTATCATCTCATGTTGTTCCAAACCTTTATGTCTTAATTTCTTCTGTGTTCCCCTCTGCCTTAGCCATGGCAAGAACAATGGAGTTTGCCATTAAAAGCATCATACCTTATGGGACTAGTGTGCCAAAAAGTCAGCATTTGTTTGCTCCAAATAAGGGGAAGATTATCAGTGAATAACATCTTATTTTAGTTTGTTCCTCACACAAAGCTATCATTATCATTTGTTTTAGAAAACATTTAAACTTTTTGATAATTTTATGCAACTTTTGTTTCATTTTGGAGCTTGGCACTATAAAACACTTTATTTTGTGTTTCACAGAATAAGGAAAATAATAAAGTTTTGGAACGATATAAGGATGCATATATGATAACAATCTTCCCTGGGGCTGAGCAAAGCATTTCTATCTGTGCTGTACTGTGCAGTATGTGCTGTTTAGATGCCTTGTGGAGTGTCAACTACCATAATGCTTTCTTTAAAAAAAAAAATGTCACAGTCTGACATGAGGCCAATGAATGTCTGATCATGCAGACATTTCATTGATGCGAGGGGAAAAATTGAAGCAGCAGTCTTCGTATTAAAGCCATAACTCTCCCTAGGGCACCGCTCACTGACAGGCCAAGAAGACTTATTCTCTCCTCACCTTTAAACAGATCAACCAGCATAATAATAACCTCTCATGTCAGTGCTGACTGCAGCGTGACTTCATCAGTGCGTTGACAACCCAACTATTGATAAGAGCCCTCAAACTCATGCAGACAATTTCAGGACATGAAGGCTCTTTGTCCTTCTTGGCCTTTTGGCCATCTATATTTCCAGTAAGACAAGAACTGGACATGAACTCACATCACCCATGTCTTAACATGTTAACTAGTAGGTCACAGCCCTGAGTGAATGTTATTTATATATCGTGTTAGGATATTATAACTGTTACCTCACAGCAAAAGGTCCCCAGTTGAGTCATGGCTAACTCAGGAGATCATTCTGTGTGGATTGTTCTTTCCATGTTGGAGTGGCTCATCTGAATACTTCAATTTCCCCCACAATCAAAATACTTAGAGGTTAGGTGAACTAGAGACTGCAGTAAGTATGATTGAGAGTGTGAATGTATGTATCTATCTGTGTATTTTAGCCCTGTGATGGACAGCCCACCTGTTATGCTTAAAGATGCTGGGATAGAGTAAAGCATTCCAGTGACCAAATGGATGAATGTTAGTGCATGCTTTTGGTCTGTGCTTTTGCTGAGTAAGGTATAATCCTGGATTAACATCTTTGTTGGTCCTGGAATAATATCAGAATTAAGTGATGTAGGATTAGGTTTGGGGGTTTAGGACTTGGCTACGGTTGAAGGCTGGGGACTGTACCATTCTGATCGACCAATCACTGCCCCTTGAGTTAGTTGGGGTTAGGTTAGGGTTAGGACAATGTATGCTTTGCAATATTATTGTCAATGAAAGTGCTATAGTGCGCTCATCATGAAAGCTAATTAATGCATTCTAAAAGAGATTCAATGAAACAAATCACTCATTTTATGAGCACTATATTTTTCTACTTTGATTTGTAAATGTTGTAAGACACTCTCACATTAATAGCAAAATTAGAGATTCAGGTTTTGACCACAACATCTTTAATAAATAGTCAAAATACTTCTACAGGAATGTTCCCACTCCAGCAAGATCTCCATTTTGGGTTTGTTGTAAGTGTATTTTTCTAAGACTCTCCCAGATCAATTTCTAGGCCCTCAGGCAGTAGTTTGATTCATGCTGTGCCCACAAATTAATTTTCCATAGGTCTCATTTTTAGTGCTCCCTTGCTGAATGTCAGCATAGACAGAAAGTGAAGTACCTGTAGAAGCTGACAGGTTTTCCACCCCCTGAGGGTCCCAGGCTGTGACCGATGTTGGGCTGTTCTGAGTGGTTTGGGGTCTAGTGGCTACACTTGTAAGGTGCTATTTGGCACAGTCCTCTGACTCCCCACCCATGCACGTCACCCCAGGGTCCGAGAAATAAGAGGTGTGCTATCATATTTTATCCATAGACGGATTGAGCTGATCCAGACAGGAACAGTAGAGCAGTCTCACGCTTAATTAATGATGGGACACCTGGGAGAGGTCTTGCCTCACACTTGATCTCTGGTAGAAGAGGGTGACTGGGGAGAGTGTGCATATCCATTCATCTCCAGCAAGGGCTATTCACTGTGCCCCGGGCTGCTGTCTGCTCAATGATGCTTCTACACACTAGGGAACAACAGAAGCAAGAGGCATTGTAGAAATGCTGACATGACCGAAGACCACACTGAGGATGTTAACAGATACACACACAACCACATGTTGTTTAGTGGTGGTAGCGTTTTTTTGTTTTTTTTTTCCACAGAGGGTGCAATCAGCGCCCTTGAAGGAGCAATAATAGGAGCATCAATACTAATAGCTGCAAGCAGTTGTGCAGCATATTTTATTTTTCTAGATGTAGTTAGGCTGTAAGCATTTTTCTCAACCTGGGTGTCTCAGGGACAAATTTGTCTGAAGATAAAGGGTACATTCCCTCTGTTAGCTCTCCTTTACTGTGGTTTTTGTCCTGGAATTGTATTGTAGACCCCTTGTCAAGGTGTTAGGGCACATACTGTATAGACTTGAGGAAGCTCTGATGGAGCAATCTATGGATAGGACAGAGCAAGATACATCTTGAGAGTGTGAAAACAGATAATACAGTGAATTGAAAAAAGCACAACTAAACCTGCTCCTCATCCATTAATGGATGTCTGTGTCTGAGTTGTCTAAGCCAACCCTAGTGTTCTGTTGTCTTTGTAGTGCACCATTCTCATTGAAATCAATGATTTTGCAGTATTCTCTGATACGACACAATTCTTGGTGTGTATGCGCCCTTAATCATTGCAGTCGAACACCTGCTGACAGTTATGAAACAGATGATGGTCTTTATCTGGTGTTGCATATTATGCCAGATTCCAGCTCTAAGCGTTCAATTTGTTTAGCTGTTTACGTCACCTCTCATCATCCGCCTCCAAACTGAATGACTAATTCCAGTGATTTCAGCTATGTGCTGTTTTAATGATGTGTGAGTCACGGCTAAACCTGCAAGCCTCACAAGCATTAGATATGCTAGATGACTACTCCATCACCACTATTTCAAATACATGCCTGTTGAGGATGTAGTCATTATCTGATTGTGCAAGTCTTGCACTTAAAGGAGAGTAGCAGTAGGGAATTCTCATTTCCACTGAACAGAAAGAAAGACTACGGCTTCCCAATTACTGTAGTTAATGTAGCCGACAGGACACGGCTTGATTATTTGCTGTTTAAGTGTGTGGGAGGAGAGAAAAATATTAAGAAAAAAAAGCGAAAGAGAGGCCATTTGTGTTGAGTATATAGTGATGAGGTGAAAGTAAAAAAGAGGTGAGAAAAATAATGTGAAAATGGAAAGACAACACACTCGCACACTCTATAACAGATTGGGATTTTCCAGTTTCATTTAGTGGCTCAGCTGTTTTCTGAATGCTGTAGCTTTGTGTGAAAGAACAGATTTACGGTTTGTGTAAAAGAACAAATTTGAGTTCTTGCATGGCATAGGCATTCTCTTTTTATAGCGGAATATTTAGTTAAATGCTAGCATCTGAAATCATGTTGAATTTAATGTCAATTGTATTTGTGCCAAATAGATTATTGCATTTGAAATAATATTGTTGGATTGTCATGTATTTAAAAAATATATTGTTCCCGTTCTTCAGTAACACTTTATATTTGAGAATACTATTGATATTGCTAGCATGCATATTACTAGTAAACTTGCTGTTTATTAGTACTTATAAAGCACATGCCTTATTCTGCATGACCATATTCTAGATCCCTTAACCCTACCTCAGTAGACACTACATTTAATGTAAATGTGGTTGTCACTATCTTTTTTGAAGAGCTGCAGTAAGTAGCCGCCCCATCCTCCCCAAGTGCGCTATGACTTATTCATTTGAAGTTTCACAAACAGCTTTCACTTCAGAGCATTCTCATTCCTCTGCAATCCATGTGCCATTTTATGATCTCAGGGTGTAGCTGATTCATAGCAACTCACACGCACGACAATACCTATATGTTGTCACTTCAGCCTGAACTTCATTGCCTTATGGCTCTGCAGTGGTTGCCTGCGTGTGTAAATTAAAATCATGTAAAGGTCAGCAGCAACGAGGTACTTGTTTGCGATCCGCGTGGTAATTTCACTTCCTACTCTTCTTCTCATGCCGCACACAGAGAGATGGATGCTGGGTGCCTTGGGACAGCTTGGTGGTCCCAATTACATGAAGGTGGCAGATGGATGGGGGACTTCCAGGTTGAAGGGCTCATTAGAAAAAAAGCATGCAGGGGATGGGTGCGAACATGTGGCCCAGGGAAGCAACAATCCTCTGCTCTGCATGGGTGTACACAATCGCCTCAATCTATCTCATCTCCCCTGACACTGAGAAGCTAAAGGTGTTACAAAAACAAATAGCAGCATTAATGTAAGCATGTAACACAAAGCCTCGTACAACAGCTTGTGTAAAAAGTATTGGTAAAGTAACTTTGATACTGTAGTTGTCAAACTGTTCATGATTAATTCATGATTAAGTAGTTCAACTATTAAGGTACCCTTTTACCTAGTTATCTTAACTAAAAACTGTAAATAAAAAGTATCTGACT